GTGGGGGGAGTGGGGACAGAGCAGGAAAGAATGACCTATGGGGTTCTCGACATGCCATTGCTGAAGTTGACAACTCTCCCTTTCTATCTGCCAGGCAGAGGTTAGGAACTAAGGCCTGTGGATAGTGAAACTTTGTGTCCAGGTTTGGGTGCATCTCATTTGGAAAGCCATTGCTCATTATCAATGAAAAAGTTCTGAATGTTTCACCATGAAGTGTATACCCAGAAGCAAGGCAGAGACTGAGTATAATTGCATCTATTTTTTTTTTTTTTTTGTTCTACTAAACTTCAGTAAGAAATGTGGTCAACTGAGAGTAGCTTAAACAATAGTAACTGCTAACATATGTGAAATTTCTGTAAGAGGACATTGTTTCCATTATACTATTATTCTCTGACACTATTTTATTTTTCCTTCTGGAGGAGCTGATGGAAGCTTGATTTTAGATATGAAATCTTTTTTCCTCCCTTAAAAGTAACCAAGCGGCAGGGTTACAGTAAGTAGACTGTGAATGTTGTTGAAACATGTAAGAAGGGAGAGATTCAGACAGAATATACAATTACAAGTTTCTTTAAGTCCAATTTCATTGTGCTTTTACACATCTGGATAATTAACCAAGCATTACATTCTCTCTAGGCTATTTTTACAAGTACAATGTGCTCCTCACGTGATTTCCATTAGGCTGTTCCAAACATCATTTAAGAACTCAGAAAGATTGCAGACCAAGATTTGAAACTACTACTCAGCTATGATGCTGAGACCTTTGGCTCTCCTGGGAGAAATAAAAGATTGAGAGCTGAGTTCTGAGATCCTTTTGATGTAAGAGGAGAATTGGAAGTTTATTGCTTCTTTAAGCTCCAGCAAATATAAGCATGTACAAACACACCCTAATACCTCTGGTTCTTCTTGTTGGTGGTGAGCTCAAACTATGGTCACCATGGGAAAAATTAACCAAGCAAGAGCAGTGCGGAAACTGTAGCTTGAAACTCCTTTAAGTATCAGAAAGGAATACTAAGGGTGGACTAAAATCCTGATGTGTTGCTTGCTAACCTCATTTGAATTATTGTGCTAGATGTGTATGTTTATCTGGCTGAGTTCCTCATTTGAGGGGCATTGCAGAATTCTAAAATTGTGTCCAGCTAGTTTCTGGCGGCACGTTTTCTCTTTGTTTTTACTATGCTTTGATGTTGCTCCGAGCTTATGAGGCTAGGGTCTGATCTCATGTTAGGTTAGTGTTAATTGACAGGCTTCAGGGGCTTCACTGCCCAGCTGCTGCCCACATTGGTGAACACCATCGGGAGGTCAGAGGAGCCAGGAGACTGTGAACTCTGGTTGTTGTTGCTGTTGTCATCATTATGGGCAGAACTCAGAACAAAAAGAGCAAGAGTTCATAAAATTACAGAATTACAATTATAAGCCTAAGATACCATATAGTCCATTTTTAATCCACGAGGCAATCATGCCTAAGTTCTTCCCCCAAAATATGGGGTTCTATTATATTTAAAATATATGCAGGAAAAGGAAAACTAGGTAAAATAAAACATACTTGATTTATTGTCTGATTGTCTTTAGACGTGCTTGTGGTGGTCAGAGAATTGTTAAACTGATAAATAAATGATTCAAGAAGAATAAATGTCTGATCTGGCAAAAAAAAAAAGAGAGGGGGGAATATGTCTCAACAAGGAGAGAGAAAATAATTGAAATTTTATCATGTTTCAGTGTCTGTTTTCCATAAAATAATTCTATAATTGTCTACTGTGTGACAGCCTGAGTCACTCAACCAATGGAATGATTAATGAAAAAGGCAATGAAGGATTTGTCACACTGACACAAAGCAAGGAAGGATGTGATAGTCATTAGAAAGCAAAAAAATGAGGTAAACATCATCACGTTCAGCAGATGTGGACTGAATACTGAAGAATCTGGTTTTGGATATCATTATGGACCTACCCATCTCGCTGTCTTTCTTTCATAAGTGGTCAGCTTAGCAAGCATAGCGTGGTCCCAGCTTGGGGGACCGGAGACCCACAGTGTACTCCAAGCCCATTGAACAGCATATGACATGATAATGAGAAAGGGGAGAGGTAGAGACAGCCAAACACCAAGCCTGGATAGAATTTCAGCTAGGCACATGACCGAAATGCATAGACCCTTACTTTCATTGCTATAAAATATTAACCTAGGAAAATAATGCTTACTGAAATTAAATTGGCTGTAATTAAATTAGGTGGAATGGCTTGATTCATAGTAGTTGCTTAAAAATCGATTCATAGTAGTTGCTTAAAAATCGAGTATTCTTTCTTAATTCCCTGCCTGGATATATCCAAGGTACACATGATGGTCAGTGGGGGAAGGTGCCGTAAAAATGCTGATGTTTTAGCCAAAATTTGTCATCACTACCTATATAGCAATTGAAAGTACATGTCCTTCCAGCTCAGAAAGAGTCAAGAGAGGTGTTTTATTACCAGGTCTTACAACAAGACAACTTGAGTGATAATATTGCTAGAAGATACGCTTTTTAGCATTTGTACCAATTTCCAATAGAGAAAAAATATTTAGTAGTAAAGCCAGAGAAGTCATTCATTTATTAAGTATGTTTTTATGGACCTACTTTGTGCTGGGTGATGTAATAATCATGAAATGGTGATCTTTGCTCTATCGCATTTGAGTCAAGGTTTCCAAAATGTAGTTTCAAAAGAAACTGTGACCTTTATGAGGACAAGTTTTGTACTTTATTCATTTTCGTGTCTCTGCAAGTATCTAGCACAATGCCTTTGACTGAAGAGTTGCCCAAGAAGCCATCGTTGAATGAAGACTATATAATAATACATCTTTACCAATGAAATGATTACTCAGGGAAATGTGCTTTTTTGTCATGCTGCAGAAAATTTTATTTGGTAAATTTTCACTTATTGTCATCAATGAAAGAATCTAGCATAGTTATGGAACAAACCAAATTTCAGACACATAAACATGTCTTTATATGATACAAGGAAGCTAAAATGTACTTATGAGTATGAATGGATAAATTATTTGATTAAGTATTTTGCCTAAATAATTATTATTGCACAAGAGGGCCACATCAGTGAAGAGATCTTGTGTAAATTACATTGTTTTATCATAACTCAGAAGGAGTTTAGGTTTGGAGTCAGTCAGGCATAATTCTGGCTCTACCACTTAACCTCTCTAAGCGTCAATGTCCTCGTCTTGAAATGGGAATAATGATATCACCAGCATATGGTTATAGATAAAATGAGCATCCTCATTGGTTCCCAGCCTTTGAACTGCAGACCCCTGGAGACAGTGCGAAGGGTCTGTGGACTCACCGATACCCATGTAATGCTTCTAGTCTATTTTGAATGTATATGCCTTGATCTTTTGAAATGTGGATTCAGTCAAGATTCACTCATTCAACCACTATTTCTTGCTCCTAACAAATAAACAGCACAAGACACAGTAGACTCAAATAAATGAAGCAGATGACTATCCCTGTGATCACGGATCTTATATTCTAGTATGAGTAGGAGAATAACAGTACATAAGCTAAATAAGTAAAAGTTTGTGGGAGAGTGATAAGTATTAAGAGGAAAAATAAATGAAAGAAGGGGAATATAAAATATAAAAGAAGGGGTGTTAAAATTTTAGATAGGGTGGCCAGGGAAGGAGGCATCCCTCAGAAGGCCTCGCTTGAGGAAGTGAGGGAATTTGCCATTTGGGTATCCGGGAGTAGAGCATTCCAGGTGGAGGGGACAGCTAAGGTGGAGGCCCTGGGGGCACACACCTGGCATTTGTGAGCAACAGGACGGAACTCAGTGGGCTGGAGAGGAAGGAACAAGAGGGTAGTCAGGGACGAAGTTAGTGAAGGGAGCAGATCATTTATGGGAAGTCATTGAAGGGTTTGAGCAAAGGAAAGGCATGATCCTGATGTGTGTTTTAGCAGGACCACTGCCTTGAAAATAGACTGGATGGGGGTTAAAGCAAAAAAGAAGGGGCCAGGGAGCAAGTTACTGCAGCAATCCAGGTCAGAGATGGTGTGATGCATGGGGATGAGAGAAGGCGCTGGACTCCGGACAGGTTTTGATAGAATAGGTAGAGGTGACAAGCTTGGCTGATGGACTTTTGTGGGGTGTGAGAGAGAGATATATAAAGAATGGCACCAAGATTTTTGACCTGAGCAGCCAGAAGAACAAAGTTAACATGAATTGAAAGGGAGGCTGCAGGAGAGCTTGGGGGCTGGGAGCCTCATTTTGAACACACACACTTTAACATTAGACATCCAGGTGGAAATGTCAAGAAGGCAACTCTTTGATGGAAAAAAATACAAAACTTTAAAAAATGTTACTGAATCCATAGTAGCTCTTTTTCAACATAGTCTAAAAGTAGAGCTGTTATCATGTTTGTTAGCAGAAAAGTATCTACAAAATATTTTGAACTTGAAAAAGGGCCTTGTGTTGACAAGGTTGGAAATAAAGATAAGTTCAAGTGAAAATTTTAGTGGCCAATAAATATTACTTTCCTTTTCCTTTTCTGCTATCCCTTTAATGTATGTTGATTTCAAAATTTGCATTGTTTTCCGATTTTGAAATCTTAATCTTGGTCTTGAGATTTATTTTTTCCCTTATAAATTTTTGAATGGAACTTTCTGGAAAGAAAAGTCCAATGGGTGGCAGAGTTGTGTTCACTGGCCCCCATTACTTTTTTTTGGAAGGAAATTAGAATGATCTCTTATTACATGCTCATTTATTATTTTTTGTGCACCTAACCTGTGCATGTCGCTTGGTGCTCTTTGGGATGACAAAAGAATTGGGAGACAGAGCTCTTTGCTATTGTGGAATTTACAATGCAAGGTTAAGAAACTGATGGTGTACCTCCTATGGAAATATTGCTGCTTCATTCTTCCTATGGAAATATTGCTGCTTCATTGTTATTTTAATTGGCTTAAGTACAAACAATTTTACTAGCATCCATTTGTGAGTGGCCATTTCACCATCTGCTCTTCTCAGTCTTATGCAGGGAAGTACGTGCCGGCCATTGCTCACTACATCCACACCCTCAACCCCCCAACCCGGCTCAAGATCAACCTGAAAGGAATCGCTATTGGAGATGCATATTCTGACCCTGAATCAGTAGGTGTTTCCTTTTTTCTTTCCGTTTGGTCCTTTAAAGAGATTAAATCTCCTTTTATCAGATGGAAGTTTCCTCTTACTTTAGAGGCCTCATTTGATAAAGGGAAATACCAAGTTGACTTTGTGACTTAAATCTCCTAATTTTTACCCAATGTTTCTATGTGTCAACTTACTGTGTCAGCCTATGTTGGCTGTCAGTGCGAGTACGTGTGTGTATTGTGTTGTGTGTATGTGTATTGTGTGTACATATGTGTTGGAGTGTTTTTTTTTTTTT